CTGGTGGAACACTACACCCTTCCTGTTGGCCAATTCTGGACGCTTCTGGTCGATCGCCTGCTTCAAGCGGTCCAGTTGTTCGCAGTAGATGGTAGAATTAAGCGTCTGGCCATATGGGAGCAGCTCATAGTGGATGATTCCCTTCCATTCCCACCAAACACACAGCAAAGCCTTCCTGGCCGTCAATCCCGGCTTGGCCATTGTTTGGGACGATTCACCGGCCTTCGACCACGACCGTTTTCGCTTGATATTGTCGTATGTGATCCATTTTTCATCGCCAGTCACCATCCGCTTCAAGAATGGGTCGAGTTCGTTCCGTTTCAGCAGCATATCGCAGGCGTTGATTCGGTTCAGAAGGTTTTTTTGCGTCAAATTATGCGGCACCCAAACTTCAAACTTTTTTTTGTATCCAGCCTTCTGCAGATGGTTCAAAATGGTTTGGTGACTAACTTCCATCTCCTGGGCGATGTCACGAGATGCCATATGCCGGTCTAACTCGTTGTATTCCATGATTTGATCGGTATTTTTCGTCACAGGTCTTCTGCCGGCTGGCTTATCCATGGTGTCGTTTTCACCGGCTCTGAATCGTCGAATCTCCGTGGTTCAAAGTGATAGAGTACCATCCCCCAAAACACCATTAATCTCACGGAACATTTCTCTAGCGGATTTGCCTTTAACGAAGGAAAACTTTAAAATAGCGCGAATTTCGGCGTTAGTGAACTCCATGTTTACACATCTATAACTGTTGAAGGCAATATCTAATCATGCATAGCGTTGTTTTGTAGGTTATGTCAAGACCTTTCAAATTATGTATAGTGTTGCCAGATACGAGCTTTGTAGCGCTATGTACATATCCGCGAAATTCAAAAGACAAAAGAGCGGAAGGGATATATTTGACAACCTCACTGTGTTCCTTAATCTTGCGCTTGCGTTTTAAAGTAGCCCACATGTGCCCAATGGGATTAAGATCTGGAAACTGTGCAGGCCAATCTAACAAAACAATGTTGTTATCTCTAAACCGAGGCATCGTAGTCGCTCACTTGTGACAAGGAGCGTTATCTTGCTGAAAGTGAAAATGAAATAAGTATCGCCGAAAATGCGCGTTAACGAAGGCAGAAGAACAGCTTCTAATACATCTATGTACTTTTGACTGTCCATGCAACCCCGTCTAACGAACATTTCGCCCCAGGTCATAACGCTGCTTCCTCCATGCTCAGCAGGGGATACCACGCAATCTGGATGATATTCTTCCTCAACCCGTCGCCTCACGAACGTCACACCCGGTGTTCCAAATATAAAAAAAAAAATAATGTTTTCATAAGATTTGTATTATGTCTTCAAAATTACTCTAGGGTAAGAATCTATGGCTGTTAACACAATACCTTAAGACGGCCTTAACTAAGCTTACCTCGAAGTTTGATTCATCAGACCACAGAACATTCGACCAATCTTCTTCTGTAAAAAGTTGGTATCGGCGAGCGCATTCCAAACGATTTTTCCTACCCTTTTCTGAGAGCCATGGCTTCTTTCGGGCTTTCCATTCTTTTAAACCAGCTTACAGAAGTCTTCTTCTAGCTGTTCGAGCTCTAACTGGTTTACTAAATTCATCCTAAAGGCCAGCTGAATGGACAGAAGAAGATTTTTGAGAGACTCGCGTATAAGTATTCGGTCTTCTCGTTTACTGGTTTGACACTTTCTTCCACTTTTTCATTTGTTATTGTGGGATTTCTGTTAAATATGAACTGTTTTTATAAGATTGGAAACTTTTCACTAAATGTAATTTACACTTTCACTTTCAACTTTTAAATGCGAAAATATTTTATGATATTGGAGTCCTCTTTAGACACAAAAGTTCTCACCATATTCAGTTAGGCAAGAAACCGCCAACATATGCTCCAAACAACAAACAGTATCGAACAAGAAACAAAGTTTTATTGAGTGGATCTGTCCCAGTGTCACATCCTGGAAGAAAAGGTTGGTTTAGATAAGAAGCTAACTTTGTTCCACATTTCATTTAAATAACACTCGTATTTATGTGGGTGAGGGAGAATATAGAGTGTATTCAGGTTCGCACTAGGCTCGTCTCCAAAATTGCGCGTAAACCACTTGTCTTCTTCAGATGCCCATAGGGCAACTAAGGCTGCGCAGACGTCAATCGCAACTGCTTGAAGAGTGAGAAGATAAATTTCACAGCACACTTCAGGCACTTTAGCCATATAACTACGCTGATCACCTGAGAATCGCGGTCTTGTATATATAGCTTTCATTTCATTTCATCTACATATCTGCCAGAGGCAAAATCTTAAATGGAAGGAAGCAATTAGACAGCGCCTAAAGTTGTGCAAGGATGTAGGCTCCTCGCGTAAACAACGAGTTTTTCGAATAGGTCGATTCCATGAACACCAGTTACTTTCGAATGCCTACGTCACACTTAGAACACTGTTTCCGAACTTGTTTCATGGCGTGCGTTGATCCAATAATTAGTTAGAATAAAGTATTTTATATATACAGATCATATTTACTTTAGCAAACAATTAATTTAATAAAAATAAATTTAAAATTAATTAAAAAAAGTGATAATATCGAAAGTGAGGTATGAAATTTCCAAAAACGTGTGTAAAATGTAAGAGAAATACAATAAATTTATTAAAAAATAGTTCACCAAATTGGTTAAAATATTTAAACTTAAATTACGAAAACAAAATTAGAACGAACCATTATAATATACATACATATATAAGAGTATTTTATAGATCTTATGAATTAATCTCAGCTCGACTCGAAGTCGTTTAATGCCAACAAAAATTTTTTCTTAGCAATTTTCTGCATTCAAGCACAAAGCTAAGCGAACTGCTGTTTGAATGCTAAAAAATTTCGGTCTTATCATTTTTCAACTTCAAACAGTTGCGTTTAAAGCAGAAGCGTCTTCTTGACATTGCTCTTGATGTGGTTCGAGTAGTTGTTGGCGTTGTTATTTTTGTTGTTTCTGACCTGCTGGTGGTTGCACTGTATCACGAAGAAGCTGGTGTTGTTGTGCCGCTTGTTGTTGTAGTTATTGTTGCGCTTTTAATAACGACCATTGTGGGCACAACTGATGTTGTTGTTGTGTTCTTCTCAGAAGTACGTTCAGTTGTTGTGCTTGTTACAATTATAGGCATATTCCCCGTGAACACTTTCAGCTGTATGTGGGTTCCCATACCGCGCGCTTTTGTTATACAAAATTATGCATTGTCTTATGAAACCTCTCAATTACCGTTAAATAATCTTCCATTGGCTGATATGATTTGCTACTCAATGGGTTCTGGTAACCCACTGACCATGCAATGATCAACAAAATTAACAGCCGGTTTGGTTGTTGGTTGTTGGTTGTTGGTTTTACTATCAATTTACTATAACAGTATCACGTGCTTTGTAGCATATAATAATATCTTCACGCATGTACTTCACCAATCTGGTTAGTTGATCATTCTGGCAGAGATATGATAGTTTAATGCTATCGTTGTTGTTATCAAGCTCATGTGTAGATTACAAAATGCAGCGTTAATAGTCGGAAGTGCTATTATACAACTTTGGCATGCGGCAGTATTGATAAGCCACGCAAACATTATTTCTTTAATATATTTCTTAGAGTGGAATTTGATAGCCAGTATTTTGAACATACGGCCCATACGGCGAGTTCACAAAAACGCCATATCTATCATTTACAAACGTTTGCTCAACTCTACACAGCAGGCGAGGTAAACAAGATAGGGCGATGGCAAATATTATATATCAATGGATGACGGGAGATGGGAAAAGGAATTTCAAGGTCGCAGGGTTATCATAATCGCGGCAAGATAATCAGTCTCATTACATAGTTGTCACACCTCGTATTCCAGGGAACTACTTCCTATTCCGTGGGACTGAAAACCTAGCAGATATCAGCATGGGAACAGTGCTGTACTAACGGCTTGTTCTAGCCTTTCCAAGCTCTTGCTATTAGTTCACCATCTCCCGAAGTGTACCGTTATTTCAACTTCAGCCATTCTCTACTTGACGGCAGTTGCCTTTTACCAATTGATGTGATTGCGGTCGTAGTCAAAACCAGCCATTCCCTGAACTAAACAGTTTTTCAGTCCGGCTTAGTTTCCCATCGGTACGAGGTTCGTTGGTAAAAATAACTCACAATGTAAATAGTGAGTTATCGAGAAGTTGGTCATAGTCTGGGTAGCTAAAAAGAATATATAGTGGCACCAGATATAGGGAAATTAGTTAATGACCCGCTACCCACGTGATTGACCGGAAAGCGGACAATTTCTCGGAATTGCCAGTCTTCATGCTAGAAAGGTTAGGTTGACTAGGCCCACTGAATGCGACCAAGCTATGCTTCGTGTCTCAAGTGTGAAGAACAGTCTATCATTTCGCGACTGATTTTGCTAGAAAAGAGATTCGAAGAAAATAAAATCAATCGATTTGCTTCGGCTTAAGGAAAGACCAATAGCTGCAAAGCCTTAGGATTGTCGTAGCTGGATGAGTTAATCCAAAAAAGGCTAGAAAAAAGCTGTGGCCATGACAGAACTCATTTCTAGTAATATCTAGGCAGAGAGGAATGAAAATGAGATTTGTATGCAATATATCTATGTATATGTCTCTATGTTTAGTGCGTGATTTCCACAAGTGATCAACAGACTTTACTGAAATTTCTTCACCAGAAAGTCGTTAAAACTGTTAACTGTTTTGCGCATTCTGCATTACCATTAATATAAATACATAAATATTTTTTTCAATATCTATCCACATAATTACATACATGCATATAGTAAAGTCATACCATTCTTTTATAGCAGATAACGACACATAGTCGCACGTCTTGAAGACATCTGCCGAGCGCAACACAAAAATCGCCCTGATAACAGCTTCAGCTGAAGAAGAATGAAAATGAAGACTTTTTGCATCTGCACTTGATTTCTTGGCATATAAAGCAATGCCAAAGCACTGCACGGCACATTTTGCGACCGTGACCAGCGCATGATTTGAAATCGACGAAACGCTTCTTGTGCAAGAAACAGTTTTAATTATAAATCAAAAAATATAAAAAACAAAACATTCGCCGTGCAACTTTAAAATAATTATTAAATATCCTAGTCATGCGACGTTTAATCATTTGGCTTTTTATAGCCATTTTTGCTTCCAGTGTCACTGAGCAAATAGGAGCGAACAATATTGGTGCAAAACAAATAAGTGAGTGTGAAAGAAATATAAAATTAAATAAGAGAAATTTTAACAAATTCAAATGAAATGAAATTAAGTTAGGCAAAATTAAAAGCAATAAACTGAAATAATTTAAAGTAGAATAATTTTGAACGCATTAAACAATACTAAGCAAACGATAAATAAAGTGAAAAAATAAAACTGGAAGTAACAAAACAAATTCTAATGAAAAACAAATCAGAAAAAATAAACTAAAATAAAATAAATAAAAAATAATAATAAAAACAATAAAAAATAAAATAATATTTAATAAAAATAAGGAAAAATAAAATAAAATCAATACAACTAAAAGAAAAATAAATAAATGAAATAAAATTAAATTATATTAAATAATATTAAGTAATTTTTTTGGTTTGTTTAATGAATTGAAAAAATAAAAACTAACCAAAACGGAATGGAAATATTGGTAAAAACGGAATAAAAGGATATAAAATAAAACATAACATAAAATAAAATATCAAAAAACAGTAAAATAAAACAATGTAAAACAAAATATAAAAAAGAAAAAATAAATTTAATAATATAAAATAAAATAAAATAAAATAAAATAAAATAAAATAAAATAAAATTAAAATAAAATAAAAGACAAAAATATAATATAAAATTAAATTAAATAACTTAAAATTATATAAAATGAAGTAAATTAATATAATATAAAATAAAGCAATTACAATTTAAAGAAAAATAAATAAATAACAAAAACGCGAACTGAGTTAAATAACAATAACGATTTTTTATTTAATGAATTGAAAAATAAAAAAAAAATAACTAAAATAAAAAAACTAAACAAATTAAAGTAAAATACAAAAAAAAACATAAAAAATAATGAAATAAGACAAAACAAATATAAATAAAGTAATATAAAATATAAAAATTAAAATAAACAAAGTAAAATAAAACCACAAATAATTAATTAAAATAAGATTAAATACTATAAAATGAACAAGACAAATGTATGTGGATTAAAAAGTGGATTAAAAGTAAAGAATGAAATAAAAGTAGATTAAATAATTAAGAAATGTATTTAAATGATCCCAATAAATAAAATAAAATATATTAAACAAAATAAATATAAGAAAATAAATTAAAAAAGTTAAAACTAAATATAGCAAAATGTATTAAAATACAATTAAATAAAATAATAACTTGGTTTTTAAACAAATAGATTAAAATATATATAAACATTAAATAAAGAAAATAAAATAAAATAAAATAATTAAATAAAGTCATTACGACTTAAAGAAAAATAAATAAATAAAATATATTAAATAATTGTTTTTTGTTTTATTTAATGAATTCAAAAATTAAAAACTAACCAAAACAAAATAAAAATTATTAAAAAAGCGGAATAAATAAAATACAAAAAAATTTAAATTAAAAAAATTAAAAAAACTGAAAAATAAAATAAAGAAAATAAAATAAGCTAAAAATGAAAATAAAATAAAATAAAAAATTATATAAAAGTAAGTAACATAAAATGAAAAAAAAACAAACTAAAAAAAAAATAAAACAAGATCATTTAAAATAAAATAAGACCATATAAAACAAAATAAAACGAAACAAAAAAAAAATTAAATAAAATAATATAAAATGAAATAAATTAATTACAATTTAAAGAAAAATAAATTAATAACATAAAAGCGGACTGGGTTAATATTAACGATTTTTTTGTTTGATTTGATGAATTGAAAAATGAAAAAATAACTGAAATAAAAATAAATAAAAAACAATATATAAAAAACAATAAAATAAGTAAAATAAAATAAATTTAATTGCAATACAAAAAAGAAATAAGCAAAATGAAATAAATAAAACAAAAATAAATAAAATAATATGACATATAAAATATAAAATAAACAAAGTAAAACAAAACACCGAAAAAATAGATTAAAACAAGAAAAACTACAATAAAATGAACAAAATAAATTTATGTAGATTAAAAATAAATAAAGAAATAAAAGTAGATTTAATAAACTACAAATGAATTTAAATAAACCTAGAAAATAAAATAAATTAATTTAAATGAAAATAAGTAAAATATATTATAAAAAGTTAAAACTAAATAAAGCAAAATAATTTAAAATATAATTAAATAAAATAAATATTTTTTTTTTAAACAAATAGATCAAAAAATATATAAACCTTAATCAAAGATAACTTGGAAACAATACATTAAAACCAAATGAAAAAAATTAAATGAAATAAAGAAAAATAAACCAAAAATATAATAAATTTCAACTTGGTACAACAAAATATTTCCCTCAAGTAAGGTTTAAAATATGCTTTTCAACATAAATATCCTTTCCCTTTGATTCCCAGTGAATTCCGCCGCACAAATTGCCGGAAACAATAATGCCGTGAGCAGTTTATTGAATGTCAACCCTCAAGCAGGTGTGGCTGTCAACGCCTTGAATACTGTGACCCAAACTGCCAGTGGTATAGCCGGTGCAGGTAGTGGAAATAATATTGGCTCAAGCCAAGTTGGTAAGTAGAAGATCACAGATCGTATATTGGTGCCTCCACTAAAGTAAATTCATATATTTCAGCTAACACTGGCGCACTTATCAGAGGCAGCGGCAACACCGTCAGCAGTTTACTCAATGTGAATCCGCAAGTGAATGCGGATGTCAATGCTTTGAATGCTGTCAAGCAACAAGCCACCGCAGCAGTCGGTGGTGAAGTTCAGGGTGATCGTGTATTAGCTGGAAATAGTATTGGAGGCAAACAAATACGTAAGTGGTCTTGTTAATCTATTGTTTGGGGTTTCATGGTAGAGGATCGGGGGAGATGACATTATGTCACAAGTTCTACCATCGTGTTAAAGGATCCTCCTAGCTCCTTCTTAACATTAAACAGCTCCGATATCTGTGGCGAAAAGAACAGAGGAGGTAACAGGTTCCGTTATCTTCCCCATATTGTCGGTTCAAGTATACATCGAGTATGCGGTTCCATTTCAAACGGTTTAAATCATTTAAGGTGTCGCCTCTGTACCTAATTTCTGTCCCAGAGTGCACTACATTAGAGGACTCTTTTTCATTTAAAAAATTATTACTTGGAGTCACGTCTTGCTTTCTTGAATGCCAGTAGACTAAGGATCACCTTTTATAATTATGTTATTATTAAAGATTATTATTTATTTTTAGAATCGACTGGCTCTCGCATTGTGGGTGATGGCAACACTGTTTCGAGTTTGGCCAATGTTAACCCACAAGTGAATGCTGGCGTAAATCTACTCAACTCGGTTACACAAACGGTCTCGGGCGCAACTGGTGTACGAAGCTCTGGAGGAAGTGGCGGACCCTTAGGTGGCGTAGTTGGCGGCATCGGTAGTGCTGCAAATAACATAGGTGGCAAGCAAGTCAGTAAGTACATTAAGGGGATAAATCAGCGTGGTCTGTATACGAACATGTAGCTAAAATAATTTCTTTGTATTTCCAGTGGACGCCGGTACTAGTATTCTTGGCAATAAGAACCAGGTATTTAGTTTGCTGAACGTCAATCCGCAAGTAAATGCGGATGTTAATGCCTTGAACAATGTAAAGCAGACGGGAACTGCTGTATCGGCAGTTGGCACGGGCACACGGGCTGATGCAGTCAGTGGTGGACGAGCCGATGTTGCTGGTTTAGGCACTAATAATATCGGTGGCAGTCAAGCTCGTAAGCATACTTCAAAATTTATCATCCAACTTCTATGAGTCATACTAAGGAGAGAGAAATTATCAACCAACAAAATATTTTTCTCTTCATAGAACAAACCGGCGCTCGCATTGTTGGTGATGGCAACACCGTTTCGAGTCTCGCTAATGTCAATCCACAAGTGAATGCTGGCGTAAATCTACTCAACTCGGTTACACAAACGGTTTCAGGCGCAGCTGCCGGAGGAGGGTCAGGAGGTAGTGGCGGACTCTTAGGTGGCGTACTTGGTGGCCTCGGTGGTGCTGCAAATAACATAGGCGGCAAACAAGTCAGTAAGTAGCACGTCTTTCGAGTTTCTTGTCTTCTCATTTTTTAACAAATATTTCTTTACGCTTCTTAGTGGATGCTGGCAATAGCATATTGGGTAATAATAACCGGGTGTCGAGTTTATTGAATCTTAATCCACAAGTGAATGCTGATGTGAACGCGTTAAACTCCGTTACACAGCAAGCAACTGGTAGTACAGGCAACGCTGGAGGGGTGGGCGGTGTCACTGGTGCAAGATTGGGCACTGGTTCGAGAGCGGTAGGTTCGAACCGCGCTGGAAATAATATTGGCGGCAGCCAAGCTCGTAAGTGATGAGGCTTTTCTCTGTGTAAATATGTAAACAATAACTTCTCTTTATTTGTAATAGAATCCACAGGCGCACATATCATTGGTGATGGCAACACCGTTTCGAGTCTCGCTAATGTCAATCCACAAGTGAATGCTGGCGTAAATCTACTCAACTCGGTTACACAAACGGTTTCAGGCGCATCTGGCGGACGAACCTCAGGAGGTAGCGGCGGACTCTTAGGGGGCGTACTTGGTGGCCTCGGTGGTGCTGCTAATAACATAGGCGGAAAGCAAGTCAGTAAGTAGCACGTCTCTTAAGTTTCTTGTCTGTTGACTGCCTCATTTTCTAATAAAGAATTCTTTACTCTTCTTAGTGGATGCTGGCACTAGTATAATGGGTAATAATAACCGGGTGTCGAGTTTATTAAATCTTAATCCACAAGTGAATGCTGATGTGAACGCGTTAAACTCCGTTACACAGCAAGCAACTGGTAGTACAGGCAACGCTGGAGGGGTGGGCGGTGTCACTGGTGCAAGATTGGGCACTGGTTCGGGAGCGATAGGTTCGAGACGCGCTGGAAATAATATTGGCGGCAGCCAAGCTCGTAAGTGATGAGGCTTTTCTCTGTGTAAATATGTAAGCAATAATTTCTCTTTCTTGTAATAGAATCCACAGGCGCACGTATCGTTGGTGATGGTAACACCGTTTCGAGTCTCGCTAATGTCAATCCACAAGTAAATGCTGGCGTAAATCTACTCAACTCGGTTACACAAACCGTTTCCGGTGCGACAGGTGGTGGCAGCTCCGATGGCGGTTTATTGGGCGGCTTACTAGGCGGCTTGGGTGGTGCCGCCAACAATATCGGTGGGCGACAAGTCAGTAAGTGCAACCTGTTACTGCGTATAGAGATGTTTGTAAGATGGAAATGAATAATTGTTTACCTTCAGTGGACGCAGGCACTACAATTATGGGCAGTGGAAATCAAGTTTCAAGCCTATTGAATGTTAACCCGCAAGTGAATGCCGACGTGAATGCTTTAAATGTGGTCAATCAACAAACTGTTGGTGCAGATAGATCTTCCACAGGCGGCGGCGCTTCTGCAATTGGCGGACGATCTAGTAAGTTAATCCCTTGTAACGGGAAGACAACTTTTAAACTTCAATTCGAAAATTTATTTTATACGTTTTAAAAGTGCCTGGACAACAAGGAGGACAAGGAACCGCAGTAGCTTCCAGCAATAATATCGGTGGCCGTCAAAGACGTAAGTAAAAACTAAGCATTTCCAGCTTGATATGTCCTTAGGACTCTATGGCTTTCATCAACCATTCTCAATTTTTTTCTTTACAGAGAACAGCGGCACGGCAATACAAGGCTCAGACAACGAGGTGTTCACACTGGCTGATGTAGCACCACAATTAGATCTCAACATTGACTTACTCAACGCGGTGACACAAACCGGTGCAGGCGGCAAGCAAAGTAAACAGATAACTTAAAGACGAAAATTTTATTTACACTGTAATTTTTTTCTCATCAGACGTAGTAAACGATGCCACCGTCATACGCGGAGATAACAACAAGGTCAGCTCTTTGGCCAATGTCAAGCCCCAGATTGGCGTCAATCTTCAATTGCTCAATCAAGTAGAGCAGCTGACAGGTCTTGTTGGCGATGTCCTAGAGGATCCCAGTAGTGTTACGAATATTCTGCGACCTGGTGCTGAAGGTGAATTGGATTGTGAGGACAATAATATTGGCAATGTGCAAGAGCGTAAGTATTGAGGGGTCTTTTGTCTACATTTGGAGCTTGTATGATAAATTTTATATCATAAATCTTTATAGGTATTTCTGGCACCAATATTGTTGGCAATAATAATGACGTTTTCACCGGTGTTGATGTGAGCCCTCAGATCAATGCTGATCTTAATATTTTAAACAGTGTAAGGCAGCGGGTCCGTTGCAGACCGAGAATAGTGACAACAACGTTACCTCCGACCCTACCTCCAACTGTGCCAACTACAATTCCTCCACCTACTCCCCCACCAACTCTACCTCCGACATTACCTCCTACTTTGCCACCGACTTTACCTCCTACATTGCCACCGACTTTACCTCCTACCTTGCCGCCCACACTTCCACCGACTTTACCTCCTACTTTGCCACCCACACTTCCACCGACTTTACCACCTACACTGCCACCTACTCCTCCGACATATCCTCCTTTTCCACCTTACCCTACATACCCACCTTATCCGCCATACCATGAGTATCCCACGTATCCATCACCGATTCTCCCATATTCATCTCACGTTCACAGAAATCTTCCAGTACAGCCGCCAAAGCCCGTCGCACAATATCCATCAGGTTCACCAACTAATTGCTTTGAGATAACCGATTTTGATTTGAATGGAACGAAAGCAAAGTCACGCATAGTTTGCGTGCCTATGCCGGTGGGTTCGCCGAATAATTCAGAAAGACATATTCACTTATCTCCAGCTGCACCTCTTGGTCCACCAACACTGTCATATAGACCCAGACGACGTTGCTATCGTCGCCGGTGCAGCAAATGGAAGACTTCACCCGAAAAGTATCAATGCAGTGATGTTAGCTGTCATCAGGCAGTTCCAGTTCCAGTAACTACGCCAGCTCCCATGCCCGTTCGACCAGCACCAACTCAGAAACGCCCAGGGAACTACATACAAAATGAAGCACCCCTTCAAGTTGCGTTTGAACATTACCTTTCTTAAGTGGTTGAATAATGCTTTTGAGAAATAAATACTAGATATATAAACAAACAAATTTCTTTTAAATGGTTCAAATGCTTGTAATAGTTTCTTTGGCTTCAAGATCAACCGTCAAGCCCGATAAACTGACATTACTCCCAGAGCCCAGCCTATGATTGCCAATCCGCGGTCTCCGAAGACCGAAGCTATAATTTTTTTTTTGAACTTACTCGATCGTTCTCAAAGAATCACTCCAAGTTCCCGAGAAAGTGAAGGTTCATCGTCGCCGGGTCTAGTAGTGAGAATGAGATGGACTAGATTAGTCTTTTTCAGTTATTCCAGATAGAAACCTTTAAGGACAGGATAATACAAAGCATGTTATGAGATTGATCGCATTGACAAAAGCAAATATTACTTGCGCTTCTTTTTTGACATTTTAGATATCGCGGCAACTGTAGGAGAGTGTTTCGTAAGGAACATCGTTCTAATGGTTACAAAGCGCCAATTATATATCAACAGCATTGAGTTGTTCTCCTTGTAATTACTCTCCATCTTCTGTTCTCTGAGACAAATATATATTCCATGAGCGACGGCATTCTGCATCGCATTCTGATCGCTGATCAAGATAAAAATATCAATTTCTCGCCGGAAAATATAATATATTAGATGTAGTAAAAAGAATTCCATTATCTTTCCAATAGATTGGGCTATTTATCTGTATCTCGCATCGTAAAAGTCCGATCGGGCTCGGCTAGACGGCGTTAGAAATGTGAATCTTCGCAGTTTTGTGTTTGTTTGATTCCGTTTTGTGTCAGTGTGCGTCAAAGATGTACACTAGCAAAGAGAAAATACACTATAATTTACAGTTGTTCTTCGATAAGTTCGAAAACGAAAACCAGGCGGCTGCAAATGTGAATAGCGCTTATGGTGCGGCTACTGTTAAAGTCAATCTTGCACAACTTCGGTTTCAATCCGGTTGCTTTTATGCACGGAGTGGAAGATCAATTGTCATAAATGTCGATGAATTCAGGAACATTTCCGAGCTCTGTATCGACTGCAAAATAGTTAAACATTGCACAAAAAACCTTTTGGAACCATTTGAATAAGGCTGGATACGAAAAGCAGCTCGATGTATGAGTGTCGCACGACTTAACGCAAACAAAAACTTCATGAGTCGAATTTCCTTCTGCGAGCCGCTGCTGAATCGCAGCAAAATCGAGCCATCGGGGAATCGGGATAAAAAGTGGATCACTTGCGACAACATATAGTGAAAACGCTCGTAGTCGGAACGCCGGTAAGTCGGTTGAAACGGTGACCAAGCCGAGATTGACGACCAGGAAGGTTTTCCTGTGTATTTGGTGAAGGCAGGGAATTATCTGTCCTGAGCTGCTCCCATATGGCAGAACTTTTAATTTTGAACTATACTGTCAATGAAAGAAGCAATCGTCCAGAAGTGGCCAGATTTGGCAAATAAGAGAGGAATTGTGTTCCATCAGGATAACTTCGGCCCACACGTATCGATAGTGACTCACCAAAAGCTTCGGGAGCTTTTTATAGTTTGAAACTGGCACCAAGTGATGACCATCTGTTCCTGTCCACGGCGAACCATTTTGCTGATGAAAAATTTGCTCTATGAGAGAGTCATAATGAAATTATCTTTAAAATGGCAACAAGTTATCGAAAAACCCGGTGCATATTTTATCCGAATGGGATCATTCTAACTATGGTAATTAAAGCCTTCAGTCTTAATTTTATAATGAGGCGCTAATAAAGATTATAGTTATTTGCTTTCTGATTTCAAATAAGTCTCACTTGAGGCTCTCGAAGATTGATGAAAAGTCTGAGTAATAAGACCCGGCTTTCATTGGTGGTGTTGCTGTTGCTGTTCGGTGATGCGTAATGCCAGTACATTAAGTCTTAACACAAATATTCCCCGAGCAACATTAGAAAGCGTGCAATACCATTGCATGGAGACACGCGAAAGTACGATAGTTGCCTTGATTAAAAGCATATCAAAGAGATATTGCTACCGATCTTGCCGAAGCAGTCAACTTTTGTAATTTGTATTTTAGATTCCGTTGGATTAAGTAGGAATACCACCACATAACTTGCGATTAAAAGTTGACTCACCCATCATTTTGCTAGGGAATTCAAGCAATTCGAGCAATAAGTTAGAGAAGTCACATGGTAAGGAATCGCCTGGTCTGAAATCTTGTTTGGTATCGTTAAGCATTTCCGATTATGATGGAGCTTTTGGTGTTGCATAACGTCAGTTTACCCTAGAGTTTACGTTTTGCTTGGTTTAAGGCATATGAAAGTTCGCATTCTTTCTCAATTTAGATTAAATTTTATTTTGTCTGCTTATTTAGATTTTACATAATTCTGTTTCATGTTTTGTAATTAATTTTTTTCTTTTTGGTGCTCTTCATTTCATTTTATTTTATTAATTTTTTTTTCTGGTTTGTATTATATAATTTAATTTTTTTTAATTAATTGTACTTGAGTTTTTCTTTATTTTATTTTAATTTTAGTTTTAGATTTTTTTTCATTAATTTTTAAGTATCAGGTGTACAACTTTGCTTCCGCCGTTTTCTGATAGGTGGCTATACCGGCTGAGGCTGGTTGAAATACATAGATGGTAATGCCTTTAAAGAGAGTGTGGACAGTGCCTAACGATTTGTCATCGCCGTTTCAGTGACAGTTGTTCTTGTTTTCGTATTATTTACGCTCGAAAATGTCCGCTTATGTGCCTAATTCTCGCCGTTTGCGGGAAGTTTTACTTTTCTGTTACAATTCGAAAAAAAAAATGCAGCTGAAGCGTATTGAATGCTCTCAGAAACTTACGGTGATGCTGCTCTGAGTAAAAGAACGTGTCGGGAGTGGTTTCAACGTTTTAAAAATGGTGATTTCGATGTCAAAGACAAACATGGTGGTGGAAGAGAAAAAGCCTTCATAGATGAACAACTAGAAGCATTGCTTGATGAAGATTCGTGCCAAACCCAAGTACAGCTTGCCTAATCGTTGGGAGTGAGTCAGCAAGCCATTTCAAAACGTCTCAAGGCCCTCGGCATGATTTAATATCAAGAGCGACATGACAAAGTCATTCTCGAACACGACAATGTTCGGCCTCACGTCGCAAAAGTGGTCAAAAAGTGCCTGGAAACGCTGGAATGGGAAGTCTTACCCCACCCGCCGTATTCCCCAGATGTCGCCCCTTCTGACTTCCACCTATTCCGTTCGATGGTACACGGCCTGGCAGATCAACATTTTCAATCGGTTTGCTTCATGGATAGTGTCAAAAGAGGACTCCTTTTTTCGAGTCGGGATCCAAAAATTGCCGGAAAGATGGGAGAAAGTTGTCGCTAGCGAAGGACAATACTTTGAATAATATATATGTAAGTACTTTTTTGCAATAAAGCTTTAAATTTTGGAAAAAAACGGCGGAAACAAAGTTGTACACCTGATAGATTTATATAAATATATTTTTATTAAAATAACATTATTTTATTTTATCTTTACTTTTTTATCCCAAAAATTTTCCTGGTTTTTAAATTACATTTCAGATAATTTTGCTTTATTTCATTTTAAATAATTTTGATATCTTTAAATAAATTTTGAATTAAAAATTTTATTCTCTCGTTTATTAAAACTCATTTCGTTGTTGTTACATTATTTACCATATTATAATATTTTACCTCATTTTTTTATTGTCTAATTTTAAATTATTTATTGTATTTAAAAAAATATAATTTCCTATAATTTTTTATGTTCTTATTAATTTTTGGTTTTTAAAATTTTGTACAATATTTGATTTACAAGTAATTTAGTTACTTTTCTTTCATTTCCTTCAATTTTGATTTACTTTTTTTATTTAATTTCATGCGAGATTCTTCTTTATAACGTGTTTATCTTTTTGCTGTTGGGTCATAATGTTAAATAATAAGCGTACGGGTCTAAATATATATGTATATATATATATATATTATATATAATTGGCGCTTTGTAACCGCTGGAGCGACTTTTCGGCCGAGCTCCTCCTCCAATTTGTGGTTTTGCGTCTTGATGTTTTTCCCAACGAATAGAGGGACCTATAGTTTAAACCAAGCCGCCTCCGAATGGCTGATGGTTTTTTTACGAGGAGCCTTTATTTCATGTCAGAAAAACACTCGGGGCGGGTTGACCTTCCCTGCGGAGAGGCCGACCGCGGTTAGAAAATTTGGCTTAAGTTTTTATTAAAATAAATTTTCTATAATTTTTTTTGGATGTTGGTCGCACGGGGAATTGAACCCGAGCCTTCCGAATGTCAGTACGCAGCGCTAACCACTCCGCTACTGCGGCCTAAATAGTGATGTAAAGAACATTTTTATGTAATTAGTTGTTGGCACGTACGCAGCTCATGCAAATGTAAAATTTTTCGTGTGCGCAGAAAAAAAAACAACAATTTCCAGCAGTTACAGAGAATTATGTGAAAATATTCGAATTCTGTAAAAATGTATGCGCGCAGTGGAAAAGTGTATGAGAAAAGAAATTTGAAGTTTAGAAAATGTTTCGACAGTCAGTTTAGCATATGTTTTGGTGAAATAAAGTTGGCTTGCTCGAAGGGAAACACCGTTTTCCGTCTAAGCATCCAGGACTTTTGTTTGCAACTTTTGTCAAATTCCGACTGAGGATATCATAGTCATCTCTGCAGAAGTTTAATATAAACAAAAATAAATAAATAAATAAATAAATATACAAAGCAAATATGAAATACACAGTTTATGGACTGTTGATTTTGCAGATTACTTTGGGCTCATTAGAAGTTTCCTCGACGAGTGCTGATCACAAAGGTAAGGAGAGTACAATCAATCCCTAAAAAAGAACAGCTCAATACAGCTAAATAATGAAGTTAGCTCACCTTCGCAAAACCAAGCAAAACACGAAAATTATTCATATAAAAATTTATACTTTCAGTACTGTTGTTAACTGAATCAGAGACCAACAAAAATGTTTTGGATACAAAAACCAACGAAAATGAAGGAAATACGAGCAAACGAGCAGCGAGAGCTCTAACAGCCAATCGAAACTGTAAGCAAAAATTAAAGCTATGAATTTATATTCTCGAATCATTAACAAAATAAAGCTTCCTCTATTCAACAAGGCGTCAAGCTCCTTTTTCAAAATCAAGTATTTGTGCTTCCTGAACCGGCTGCTGAAGAAGACGCCGTTGAAATCCAAACCACACCAACAACGCAATCAACAACTGCAGCACCAACTACCACAACAACGCAAACAACAACTTCAACACCAACTACCACAACAACAGCAACAACAACTACCACAACAACAGAATCGACAACGTTAACACCAACTACCACAACAACCCAATCAACAACGTCAACACCAACTACCACAACAACCCAATCAACAACGTCAACACCAACTACCACAACAACCCAATCAACGCCATCAACTACGTCAACAACGCAATCACCAACATCAACACCAACTACCACAACAACCCAATCAACGACAACAAATCCAACTACCACAACAACCCAATCAACAACTGCAGCAACAACTACGACAACAACGCAATCAACAACAACAACACCAACTACCACAACAACCCAATCAACGACAACAGATCCAACTACCACAACAACCCAATCAACAACTGCAGCACCAACTACGACAACAACGCAATCAACAACATCAACACCAACTACCACAGCAACCCAATCAACGACAACATATCCAACTACCACAACAACCCAATCGACAACTGCAGCACCAACTACGACACCAACGCAATCAACAACATCAACACCAACTATCACAACAACTGCAACACCAACTACCACAACATCGCAATCGACAGCAGCAGCCCCGACTGATGCTCCCACCAAGTACCCATGCCCTTCGCATTTATCACGCCCAAAATATCCACTGCATCGTGCAGCGCCAGCACGTCCAATATACGCACGCTATGATACCAAAGTCGTGCGAACGCAACCTTCAGTTTATCATTATCCCAGGATGTCAGCGGTAGATAATTGCTTCCAGGTACGGGATAATAGAGGTATTGCGCGCACAGTGTGCTATCCACGACAAGCAGCGTTGAACCAAGCTTCAGTAAGTCGGATAGTTAGGCCTCCAGTGGCTCCGCCTGTTGCAACACAGCGTTGTTATGGTCAACGCTGCTTCGGGGGTCTTGCCGTGGCCCGACAACCGGTTCGATTCTCAACACCAATAAGAAAGCCTTCATATCGTGTGCTTCAGCCACGTACCTCCTACTACGGCTAGTCGGCGTTAATAAAGTGTAGAATAATTTTAGATCTATTTAGCTGGTAATTTCCGCATTCTTTAATCGGGTTCGGAACACTTTTGTCTGTGTACTTTTAATAAAAAATCATTATTAGAATATATTGAAGAAACCATTTTTTTGTTAGGAAGGTATGCGGCAGGAGTTTTAGAAACTTCTGAAAGCTGGGTTTCTTCATCCATTCTTCTTTATATGTTTTATAATCTATGATGATTCCCACACCGATTAGGTGCACTGGATTACCGACCGAGTTATCCAAATATTTTGCTGCAGAACGGACAAGGTGCATTCACAAACTTCTCTACAGATTATCATCGGAAGAAAAAAGCCCGATGTAAATGTGCTCTACGTAATCCACAAAAGGGCCATCTTTTTGATAAGAAATAAGATAAGACTCGTCAATATCGCATATAAGGCCCTATCGGACCTTTCAACTATCGTTTAGTGGTTTAGATATGGTCAATCTACAATTCTCCAAATACGCTTCACGCGGTAAAGACTGCAAATCCAATGAATAATCACTTTTACTGAGTAGGCAAAGTAAGGTTCACTCTCGACCAACTAAAACCAAACTCTGTAAGTCACTCATCGTTCCCATCTTATTATATCATGCAGAGGCATTGACATTTCAGGAACATCTGAGGAGTTGGCGTTCGGTGTATTCGAGAGAAAGGTTTTACGTAAAGCTTATGCTACCTACGCAACAACAAATATTGCCACTGATGGAACGATGAGCTGTTCGAGATGTAATGTTTTTTGGATGCACTATCCGCTGATGGGAGCAAACGGGCAGGAAGGTTCAAAATGGCCGGGCTACACTTGGTATTTGCAATTGCAGTTAAACATCTGTGATGAAGATGAAGAGGAAGCCTACACCAATTTACTACTCTTTCAGAAGTTCAGAGCGATCTTATTACCTTTATGATTTTGGACTAAGGAACATCCTCAATATTAATTGAATAGGTCTCCACAGTAGGATACCACACATCGAATTTGGCTTTGAAATTGCTTTGTGCTTTTCATTTCATAAATAATATTTTGGCATCTGCGTACACGCCTAAGTGAGCCTTCTACTTATTTAGAATGCTGAGATACGTTACATTTTATACTTGGACCATTCTTCGATGAGAAATAAATGGTCTCCGATAGCTGTCGATGCTTTTCTAGGGTATTTATGTATACATATATATATTAGGTCGCGTAAAAAGTTCGTTCGGTTTTTTTTATTGTTTTTTTTTTCAAAATATGATAACTTTGTGTACATTTGTCCGATTCAAGTCAAATATGCGCCGTTTTGTTCCTAAGCTTGTTGCCAACTTCAATATAGCCCTCTCCTAGAAGGCTGCGTCCCTATTGGCAAAAAACTCGGAGCTCTCTTGAAGGCAACTTCTCACCATTAAGCGCGTTCGCCATGGACTTGGTCCCAGATCCGGACTATAAGGTGGGTGCATCCGAGCTCCTGGAGCTTCTGGCGCATCACCAAAGACGAGTGTGGCCTGGCGTCGTCTTGATGGAACACAATACGACCTCTGTTGATCAAAGGTGGTCTCTTCTGGATGAGTGCTGCCTTCAAGTGGTTCAGTTGTTGGCCGAATCCAGCGTTTGGCCACAGGGTAGCAGCTCGTAGTAGATGATTTCTTGCCAATCCCAACCAAAAAAAACACAGCAAAACCTTCCTGGCCGTCAATCCGGTCTTGGCCACCGTATGGGCCGCTTCGACGAGCTTTGACCGCAACCGTTTGCGCTCGATGTTGTCGTAAGTGACCCATTTTTCATCGCCAGCCACAATCCGATTCAGTAACGGGTCGATTTTTTTACGATTCAGCAGCGATTCCGAGTTGGAAATTCCGTCCATCATGTTTTTTTTGCGTTAGTTCATGTGGCACCCGAACATCTAGCTTCTCCTTGAATCCAAGGATATGCAAATGGTTCCAAGCGGTTTTCTGTCTTATCTTTAGTTCCTCAACAATTCAATAAATGCTCACGTGACGATCTGTTTCCACTATTTCCATGATTTTTTCGCAATTTTCGACGACAGGCAGGCCTCCCGATGTGTGGTGCATCTTTGACATCGAAATTACCGGAACGGAACCTAACAAACCACTTTTGTGCTAAACGTTCGTTTACAGTATCGGGCCCATAAACTAAAATAATTTTTTCCACCGCTTTGGCTCCTTTTCCGCCTTGATGGAAGAAATATTATAAAATATAGCAAATTTTCCCTTTGCTGGTGTCCATGTTCGATGAGCGCTCACAACGTACTGAGTCAATCAATCGAAAAACCTTCAAAGATAAATTCGCCGTATGATTTTTGTGGTTCTTAGAGACTATTTCTAAGTGGTTCGGAAAATTCCAAGCCGGACGGTTTTCCGTAGAGGACGGGCGCTGAGAAGGTCGACCAAAATCTTCTACTAATGGCATCATTGTAGCTCTGGTGAAATTTAAAATTGACGATGATCACGATTGACCCAACAATGGATTGCTTATGAATTGCCGTGCTGAGTCCCGAATATTCAGTAATCATCTGGGATAGACAAAGTAATCTGCTCGATGGGTTCCGCGAATTTTAAATGAAGCAAAAAAAGACACTCGAGTGCATTGTTCTTAAATTTTTCTAAACATACTCGAAAATGATTAGTCTAGCAACTTTAGTGAGGTTAATACTGGTGATCTTGGTTCCATATGACGATCCGCCAAACGAAACAGCAGTGCATGGTATGGAGCCCAATAGAAGCAAATCCACTCGTAATATGTAAGCACCTGATATTTGTGCTACGTAAAGTAATGATGTCAGTTTAGTTCACTCGATTTAAAATCGTAGCTGTTACTTCGCCGGAAGAGTGCTTACCAAAAGTTTTTAAAAATTTTCGGAAAACAGGAAGAAAGAAGATTTGCGGCGCTGCCTTTTACAACATGGCAAGGCCCCATCCCACTGTGCTGAAATAACAAGTACTATTATCGCGATCTCAGGGATACCACCATATTCCCTGGATATAGCTCCTTGCGACTTCAGGATATTTCTAAAAATATAAACGGAAAGATTTTGATGGCTGTTTTCGGAAGTGGATCTATAGGTTTGAGAAGTGGTAATTGTGTAGAGAAACTAAAAAAGTAATAAAGATTACGATTAAATTAAAAATTATTTAATTTTAATTTTTTTTTTCCGGTCAACTTACCGAATTTTTGATAATCCCCTCGTAACTTAGATAGCAAAATTCTTTCAAATAATTCGGAAAGTCAAGGTACTAACAAGTAGGCTTCGTAAAAAGATGCCTGGGCTTGGTCTAGTTTGGAATGACAGATATAGCCTCTGAATAGTAATAAGGAGTACAACTCTTGGTAGCTCTTTTTGGTGTAAAAAGTTCATATTGCCTCATATTCGGCCGAGCTCCTCCTCCAATTTGTGGTTTTGCATCTTAATTTTTTTCTAACAAATAGAGGGACCTTCAGTTTATACTGATAGTTTTTCCTTGAGGAGCCCTTTTTTCATGTCCGAAATACACTCGGAGGGGTGGAAATTCCCTGCCAAGGCGCAACCGCAATTAGAAAATTCAACTTAATTTTTTGTTTTAAATTAATTTCTTATAACTTTTGGTAGTAAGTCGCATCAGGATATGAACCGTGGTTTTCCAAATGGTAGGACGCAGTGCTAAACACTCGGCTACAGCGGTCGCCAAAGACTCATTGCCTGAAGATCAATATGGATGCAATTCCTGAGTCGCATCAGGTTTGATGTTTCAATCGTCAACAGAGTCTCAAGGCCGATCTCAGTTAATTCCGACAACACGAAATTATTAGATCTGCCGGAAAGTTCTCTCCGGATCTATGACATCGGCCACGTACGCACAAGTTTATTTACATCATGTTCGGCACTATATTTTTATCGCTTAGTGTATAAATACCGACGTAACAATAAACTTTAGGAAAGTTGATACATATTAGGCTTAGCCATGGCGACTGATAAAGTTTCGTTTACGCCAACAAGGAAGAAATTTCAACAAGGAAGAAATGCCACAGAAGCATGTAGAAATTTATTGAAAGTGTTTGGTGAAGGTATAGCTTCTGACAGGACATGCAGAAGATGGTACGCAAAATTTGAAAGAGGTGATTTCGATCTATCTGCTAAGCCACGTTCTAAAACGGACATAATTTTCCGGTAGACTTAGTATTAATTGTAAATATCACGCTGTGATACCAAAGTCGTGCGAACGCAGCCTTCAGTTTTTTATTATCCCAGGATTTCAGCGGCAGATAATTGCTTCCAAGTACAAGTACGTCAGGCAGCGTTGCCCCAAGCTTCAGCGAGTCGAGTAATCCTCGTTACTACGAGGTCCTTTGTTCTTCTGATTTCTTCACATCAACTGGAGACTTAAAGTACTTAGGTGCCTTCCAGAGTGAATATTTTTTGTTAGTGTAGATAAATTCACTGAGCCTTCTATAGGGGAATTAAAACAAAAAACACAATTATTTTATTCATAAAAATAAGTCATAATCCATTGCGAGCCATACAGTTGTTCGTGCTTTGCGTATGAAATCATCCGATGAATCGCTAAGCCACCACTACAAAATGAAATTTCTTAATATCCGACTCAAAGATTTGCTGGTACTCTAAAAATTCTCCGATGGTTGATTTTTTCATCAAATATTTACATATGAAGATTCACTGCCTTCGACAAAAGTGATATTTTTACAAAAACGAGTATGAGTTTGAATTTTTAACTTTTTTTTTTAATTGCACTAAAATATTTGTTTCATGTATTAACAAGTAACAGATGTAACATGTATGCCATTACATTGTTTTACATTGTTTTACAAATAATTCCGATAGATTTTTTCATGTTCGCATTCTTTTGTGCATCAATAAAAGCACGTCTGCTGCACCCACGCACACTTGCTAAATCGCGAAAAGTGCAAGCGTTTTTTTTTATAAATAAATCAGCAGTGCTTAGTGAATGCTAATTCAACTCGAAAACTGTTTGTGGAACATCTGCTTTTATTATAATTATTTTAATTAATAATTAAACGTAAAAGTAAAAATTCAATTTTCACTGCAAGCGGGTCTTCAGTACACTCTACGTAGAAGAAGGACGAGCTTATAGTTGCAGTTTGAGTAGCAAAGTTTTTATCTTTAAATATATTTAATTATTTCACAATAAATATATTCCTTATATAACACTAAAACTTCAACTCATCTGATGCTCCTATGAGCAGAATATAAGAGAGTAATAATGGGTTGTACCATTCAATGGCTGCCGGTTGTTGTCATTGTCTTCACTGTAGGCCAAAGTCAATCTAACCCCATCGAATTGCTAGCGAGAAGTGGTAAGTAATAAACTGATAAGGTGGTAAAACTCCATGCAGCAAGAGACTAATATAAAAATTCTACTTCAAATCACTTAGGCAATATTAACTCAAATGGTGTCGTTCAGGATAGTAGAGCCTTAAACCATGAACTTCCAGCGAGGTTAAATCTACTTTCGAGGGCTGCGCGCATTATAAGAGCTATTCTCCCTGCACAATCACGTAAGTACACTTTATTCAATTTGTCATAAAAAGATAATCTTTTGTTGTTCTTTTAACTTTTAAACTTTGCTATCCAAACACTAAACAAACCACAATGACACATCAGAGAGACATGTCCAGATCTTCATAATTCCGTCCGTCGCACCAGAAATTGATTTAGGATTTCCGCCCACAACTGAGACGCCATCACAAGCCCCAACTACAGATCCAACAACTCAAAACCCCACAACAGAGTCGCCATCACAGGCTCCTACTACTGAGACACCAACGCAGCCTTCAACTACGGATCCGTCTACTACACCCTCAACCACGGCTCCAACAACTCAAGACTCCACAACAGCGTCGCCAACACAGGATCCAACTACCGAGACACCAACGCAGCCTTCAACTACGGATCCTCAACCACGGCTCCAACAACTCAAGACTCCACAACAGCGTTGCCAACACAGGATCCAACTACCGAGACACCAACGCAGCCTTCAACTACGGATCCATCTACTACACCATCAACCACGGCTCCAACAACTCAAGACCCCACAACAGCGTCGCCAACACAGGATCCAACTACCGAGACACCAACGCAGCCTTCAACTATGGATCCATCTACTACACCTTCGACTAATGATCCAACCACGCAAAACCCCACAACAGATTCGCCTTCACAGGCTCCTACTACTGAGACATCAACGCAGCCTTCAACTACGGATCCAACAACTCAAGACCCCACAACAGCGTCGCCAACACAGGATCCAACTACCGGGACACCAACGCAGCCTTCAACTACGGACCCATCTACTACACCATCAACCACGGCTCCAACAACTCAAGACCCCACAACAGAATCGCCAACACAGGCTCCTACTACTGAGACACCAAAGCAGTCTTCAACTGCGGATCCATCTGCTACACCATCAACCACGGCTCCAACAACTCAAGACCCCACAACAGCGTCGCCAACACAGGATCCAACTACCGTGACACCAACGCAGCCTTCAACTACGGATCCATCTACTACACCTTCAACCACGGATCTAACAACTCAAAACCCAACAACAGAATCGCCAACACAGGCTCCTACTACTAAAACACCAACGCAGTCTTCAACTGCGGATCCATCTACTACACCCTCAACTATAGATCCAACAACTCAAGACCCCACAACAGAGTCGCCAACACAGGATCCAACTACCGAGACACCAACGCAGCCTTCAACTACGGATCCATCTACTACACCTTCAACCACGGATCCAACAACTCAAAACCCAACAACAGAATCGCCAACACTGGCTCCTACTACTGAGACACCAACGCAGTCTTCAACTGCGGATCCATCTACTACACCTTCAGCTACAGAACCAACAACTCAAGACCCCACAACAGAATCGCCCACACAGGATCCAACTACTGAGACACCAACGCAACCATCAACTACGGATCCATCTACTACACCTTCAACTACGGATCCCACCACTCAAGACCCCACAACAGAATCGCGAACACAGGATCCAACTACTGAGGCACCAACGCAACCTTCAACTGCAGATCCATCTACTACACCTTCAACCACGGATCCAACAACTGAAGATCCAACAACAGAATCGCCAACACAGGATCCTTTTACCGAGACACCTACGCAGTCTTCAACTGCAAATGCATCTACTACACCGTCAACTACAGATCCAACAACCCAAGACCCCACAACAGAGTCGCCAACACAGGATCCCGCTACTGAGGCACCAACGCAGTCTTCGAGTACGGATCCATCTACTACACCTTCAACCACGGATCCAACAACTCAAACCCCAACAACAGAATCGCCAACACAGGCTCCTACTACTGAGACACCAACGCAGTCTTCAGCTGCGAATCCATCTACTACACCGTCAACTACAGATCCAACAACCCAAGACCCCACAACAGCGTCGCCAACACAGGATCCAACTACCGAGACACCAACGCAGCCTTCAACCACGGATCCATCATCGAGCACGTCAGCCACTTCCTTTATAATAACAAATCCCATAATAGATATGTTGGTAGCCACTACTACCACGAAGCCGACCACCACTACCATTGCTTCAACCACAACTTCCATGCAACCAACTACTGTTACCACAGTTAGCCCAGTTCCACCATTACCGCCTGTAGCCCCGTGTATGCCTGCCTGCAATTGCTTCTCTCCGTGTGGTTCATTCTGCCAATTCCACCAGTTTCCTCCCGTTATGCCTTTTTATCCTTCATTTCCGTTCCCCAACCAATGTAATCCTTGCGGTATGAACACGCAACAGATTTCTGCAGGTCTAACGCCAGCGCTGCAATTACAGTTAGCCTCATCAGCATCCACAGCTATGCTGGCTCAGGCCTTATTTCAACAAATGGTATCCGCACAACAGGCCTTTCCATTTCAATCTTCACCATCCCAGTCGTCGTCTGGGCAGCTTGTGCCAATATCGCCATCCAATCTTAATTCTCTAATTCCCGGGTTGTCATAGATTTTAGATTTTTTTACACATAACTTGTTATTATTTAACAGTATTAGGTAGAGCTAGATCTAGTTAGCGTTTAAGTAGAAGGATTATAAAATATAAAATAAGAAATTTTTAAGATAAAAAAACCACGAGATGTCTTCATTTACACCCCCTGTCGTAATGAATTCAGGAATTTATTTTGATTGTTTCATTTGCGTCTAATGTAAGTCGTACATACAAAAAGACAAGTGAAATACTTTTCAAGGAACCTGCAAGTGTTTATCATTATCAGTGAAGTTAGAATTTTCAATGACTCTGATCTTAGGTTCAAAAGAATGTTTTTATTACTTCTTGATGGGACTATGACTCCATAAATTCTGTCTTCCCGTTCCCTCCATTTCAACACCCATATCACGCTTGGAGGTGAAGCTCAGCAGAAAATCTCTTTAGCGATTACAAAACGACATTAATATATAAATACTCTTCGTTACCTATAATATTGTAGAAGGTCTAAGATCCCTCTGTGGGGACATCCGAGCCTCAATTAAAAAATAAACCAATCGCCTCGAAGTAATTTTGGGCAGCAGCTTGATCTCCGTGAACGAGAGGAAAGCATTTGGCAAGTTAGCTACCCGTCTGTCTTCCGAACCAGTACATTAATGGCGGTCCAATGATTGTTTATAAGCTCCTGACCACTCAGCGGAATGCACACTAGAAAATGTCGAGTGGTCGGCATGGGTGAGTCGTTGTAACAAATTCTTTGTTTATGTCCGGCCTTACACGTATTTAAAAGACGTCGATATGTAGGAATTTCACTGTTGATAATCTATATAGTATTTATATATGTATACATAATTGCCGCTTTATTACCGCTGACGAGATCTTCAGTAGTTGTTTTTCAACCAAATGGAGGGATATGCAAATTATTGTAACCTGCCATGATTGATAAATGTTTATGAGATTTTTTTTTATTTCATGTCAAAAATACACTCCGAGCGTTTAATATTTCCTACCGACAAGCTAACGCAATAATTATTTAAAATAATAAATAATAAATAAATAATTTCTTACACGCTTTTATGTTATTCTGGCCAAGATTCGAGTCCATTGCTCTCCACATGGTAGTAAGAGCAGCTAATCACTCTCCTCGCTCATAGCTTTGACATCTGAAGCGATGACTACCTCAGGACGAACAAAATTAAATAGCCATCTGACGCTTGAGGGGAACAATAGGTTCATGTAAAGCTTGCCGTCCAGCTGGTATACATATGCTCATTCCACAAGTACTTACCATCCGCTCTCCTTGTTCAGTCCGTAGCAATGGGTGGATTCGTAAAATTTGTAAAGTAAATATTTTTAAGCGGCAGCACTGTTTTAAGTGAAGGAAAGAAGCCAGATGAATAGTTACTTACATAAACAATTTCTTAATCCTCTCGACGTTATATTTTACTGTTTTTAATGTGACATCTGGTTGTCCCTCTCCTTAAAGGTCAACTCAATTTTGGTCCCATTACCAACACCGCATTGGAGCGTGCAAGTTTTTATTGCACTCTTTACAAAAATTATGTACCTCAATTACTCAAGAGCCAGTGACAATAACATTTGCTATGCCTACGCTCGGCAGTTCAGCGCGTGTGTTGGTTGACCTATCTTTCAGTTGTTTTCAGCACAACGCAGCTACGTCAAATTTTTTAATATGATTAACTTGCTTGCTTGCTTCGTCTTATCGATAGCGCATGTCCTGAATATTAAAGCAGTTTTGGGGTTTCGTTGGAGTTTCTTTCGTTTTAATTGTGTCTACAACTGTTCAGTCACCTCACTTAAGTAGTTTCGCCTTCATCTACTTACTTCTCCCTTTTCTCTTTTTAATATGCATTTGGTATGTTTTTTATTGTTGTTAACTTTTTCTTTGATTACCTTTGCGTTAATTTGTTACTTCGTTTAGAACGCCTTGCGCTGCATTTCAAAAATATGTAAATATTAAAAGTTCGTTAGGGTCGCTTTTAGAGGATTATCTATAAATAAATTGTTAAATTGGGTTGTTTTCGCCGACTGGGGAAGCGTCTTGGAGTATTTGAAAATAATTTTTCTTGTTCAAGAAAGGGTTAACTCGTTGGTGACGACATTGGAGACATGCTAAAAGTGTGTGATTTGAATTTATTTGTGGTTTTATTTATGAGAAACTGTAAAAGAATGATTTGAATCCCCCAGTTAGCAAAAAAAAAATTTTTTTTGTTTGGTGAACTCTGTCAAACTAACTCGTGTTTGATGGCTGACATTTCAAGCTATATTTTTCATGAAGACTGTAAATCCTCATTGTGTGATAAGTTATTTTGAATTTAAAATTATTGATGTATCCTAGGAAATGCATAATGTGCATGAAGCAATAATTTTCAATTTTTTAAATTTTATAAATTCTATTCTTTAATATTGTAATAGAGTTTACTTTTACTATTGTTAGCATTTATTTTGAATAATTATTAATTATTGTAAAATCATGTGCAGACATACACAATAATTATTGTATAATATTAAACATAGTTCCATTGCATTACGATTTTCCAATCAGCCTTTATCTCATGTCCGAACTACACTCGGAGCGGTGGATATTCCCCGCCGAGGGTGGACCGAAATTAGAAAATTTAACTTAATTTTCATTCATTTCGAGTGCCTGGTCTTCCAAATGGTAGGACGCAACGCTAACCACGCGGCTACCGCGGCTGCCCATAATAATGTAATATGTATATATACTTGTACATATTTTAAAAAACAAATTCAAGTGATGAAATTACATTAAAAGAAACTAAAAAAAATATGAAAACAGACTTCCCAAAAAAAAAAAAAAAAATATATGAAACACCACAAAAAAAAATGCTAATTAAAATAATCAGCAGTTTTCAGTAAAATTTCTTTCATAGCTATGTATGCATGTATGTATGTTTGTAATCGTTTATCATTACTTTTGCGATTTGATTACAATTGTTTATTGTTTATAATGCGTATTATTGCTTGGCTTGTAATTTTAGCATAGTGCATACAACTCATTGCTTACGTATTGTACATATATAACAACTGAAAAAAATTGCAACTACAAATCTACAGTGCTCAGATATTTTATTGTTCGTGAATTTCCATTGTTTTTGTTGGTACTATTTTCAGGGGAAAATATAGTTAATTAACAAAAAAAAAAATATAAACATTTATTTTTTGTGAATAAATTTGATTTTATTTATATTTTTTTACACTAAAAATTCGTATTTTTTCACACAGAAAAAAAATTTTTTGGAAATCAAATACTTTTGTTTGAGAAAAACGGCACAAAGGTCAAGTGCAGAAAGAGAAACAATTTCTTCAAATAAAACTGCATTCAAATCGAAATGGTCTTCCACTAATTCTGAAAATAAACTTATATCCCATGATGAAAGCTATGATATCTTGTCTTCTTAGGATAAAATGTATGTCAAATACTCAAAGGCCTTTTTTCATTACTATTTTGCTTTTTTCGCTGTTGACCGCAATTAGAAAATTTTAATTAATTTTTTGTTTAAATTAATTTTCTGTAACTTTTGAATGGCAGTACGCAATGCCAACCACTTGGCTACCGCGGCAGCCACGTTTATAGAAGGAAAATGAGAGGATTTTGCAACACGAAATGCTATCATTGTGAACTTTTTTCTACCCGAAAATTCAACAAATATTGCAATATGCAAAAAGAAATTGCAGAGCCATTTTTTGTCTTTCTATTTCATGAATTAAATTATTACTTCAAAACACCCGGTACTTTTTCGTTTGGGATGTGTGGGATGAGTGATGCCCATTTTGCTCGCTTTGGCTGGTCATTAAGCCTTCAACTGTCTTGCCTTTTTTTTAGAAATCGAAAGCGAAACTGGCTGTATTTATGGTCTTGGTAGGTCCTTAAGATTCAACTCCTAAAAGTATAACATTTTTGGCAATTTCATAAGCTACTTCCATAAATTGGACTCACTGCTCACTGCAGCCACTTTAACTAGTTCCTTTCACCTAAAAACATTTTCCCATCTAATATGACTGACTTGTTTGCCAACAGACTATCAACGAACTTTTATCGGCTTTCCTTTCCGAAAAGACCTCTACCTGTAAAACCGTGCAATATTTTGGAAGTATGAACGGTTGCCGGTTATCCAACTTGGCACAATAGATTTCAACGCCCTTCGTTCGGCCACTCCGTGGAAATGTTGTAAGTTCCGTTGGTGGATTGCATAGATAAGCCGCATGGAGTACAGTCAAGAAAATTGGGCCGTCTTTTTCATATCTGTAAATATGCTCCGAGATGTAGCGTTGGGCCCAAAAGGCAGGAACTTCATATAACGTATTCTCGTAACACCTTCTCTATAGAACAGCAATACATATATGCAGCTACATTTGTCTTGATTTTCATGCAGTAGAATTCAAACACTACTATTAAGGGGTAAAGCTTCTCTAGGATTTTGGTTAACGAATTTTTTTTGTTTTTGCTTTGGGTCCTAGAAATGATATGCAGGTGGTTTTAAAGTGAAAATATATTTCACATAGCTGAAATTTTCTAATCTAATTTCTCAAACTGAGAGAACAGATTATCCGGATTCTATGAATCGATTTTTTTGAAATTTTGATGTTAGCTTCATATATACATTTTTGGATGTATGTAGTCGTTTTCCGATTAAATATAAACTTTTTTTTTTATTACTATTATGCGCATTTTGTAATCAAAAATCAATATTTCAAAGAATTTTGTGCCGTTTTCACAAAAATTTGTTAAAAAATTAATTCTTACGTACTTCCAACGATTGCAGTTTTTTCATAAAACTGTTTGCCTATCTGTTCTAGGTGGCATCCTTTAGAAGAAATCGGCCCTCCTGTGGATGCCTTTCAAAAAAACATGGATTAAATATTATTAAAAAAACAGACTTTATCACCGCCCAATAATAACTAAAGACTATTTTTGTATACCTCAACTCATGTTGAATGAAATGCTTAAGTTGAAATTCTATTCCTTTTCCCATATTCCTACAATAAATTTTTAAAAATCAGTCTATTTTTCCACCTCTACAGTGGCTTTACCCCATAAGCAGACTATATTGCTAGTTCTTAAATTTTCCTAAAGTTGCTACTATTTGCATTTCT